AGGATTTAATATAGCCATATCGGAAGTAGAAATATTTTGTAAATAGGGATTTTCCGAGTAGATTAAAAATTAAAAGATTATGAAATACAAAATGTCACATTTATCAAGCATGAAGATGTAAAAATGACAAATGACATATTAGACTATTCATATATTTCGTTAAATAAGTATCGGGAGTAATTTATTTGAATCCCGTGCCAGTTGTAATATAAAATTCCAGTTTTTTCATAAAAGAAAAGAACAATCATCAGATGAAAAATCTTCATTTGTAACATCCATCGAATCTTCTGAAGTTGAGACAATTTCGTCTTTATATGCAATCTTCCCATGTCTTACATCGTCCAGAGAAGGCGAAATTCATTTTTCTCTACATTTTACAAAAACCTATACAAAAAGTTGTTAGGCACTTATAGGCAGCTGATTTTTTTTTAGTTTACAGATAATAGTTTTGTCTTTTTTGTCCAATAAGTTAAATGACAGAATTCTGCACAATTATTAAACATTTTTCTTCAAAACTAAATTATTATTTCATTTTATAACGTAAAATTCACATAAGTTTGGTAGCCAATTACTATTTTTTGTAAAAATTTTGAGTATTTTAACCTACATATTCATAATCTACGTACATTTATGAGTTGATTCCATTTTGTTAGAGATAAATCTGTGAACTCTACAAAATTTTATAACCACTTAAACACAACTATTACTTCTGTTCCTACGCGCGAGTCAGGTGTTGCTCGAGCAGCGGTCGCTTTTGTAGTGATTTAAGAAGCAGATATAGGGAATTTGACCCTAATAGTAACGGATTCTGAGACTTGGGATATTAATCTAGCCAATCCAACAGTAAAAATTACCGAATGAGAAACTTTATTTTTTGACTTTTGGCCAGCTTTTTGGGATTCTGCCCCACTGTGGACCGTGAGGTGATCACAGAAACTTCTTCATTCTTATCTGATGCAGTAAAATTAGCTGATTTCTTACTTTGTTTTAAACTTCTTCCGCATAACCTTTCCGTAGATCTTGAATAAACCATTGAAAACAAAACTTGAACAAATATTTACTTCACTCAGAATTGTCAAATGCAAATGATCATCATCATCATACTGACGACTGAACGGCGGAACCAAATTCCAATACATCTCATACGATGTACAGAATAGACATAAAAGTTTGATACTTGTGTTTAAGCTTTACATTTATACATTTCATGAAATTAGGATTTTTTAGGTTTTTGCGAATGCTGTGTTGTCAGATTTTCGATATAAAAAACGCTGCAATTTCTCGAAAAATGACTTGGAAACAATAAATCATAGCGTCTTTGTAATCTATTTATCGGGTGTCCCGAAATTATGTTAACAAAATTTGGTCACAGATTAAAACAGATGTAGGACACTCGTATTTTTTATTTTTGCCAAGTGGCCCCCTCTTTCGGAGTAAAAACCGCCCCTAAGAATAGTCTTTTTTACATCTCACAACCTTGTTATACGAGAATATCTAAATTTGGTACACAGGGGTTTTATGACATGTGGAATCTGACAGTACTACGCTTTTTGGCGGAGAAACCCCTTAAGACACTTTTTCGTGACCACCCTTGCATTCTATCACATTTTGCCATTTTTCTCGAAAACATTGCGTTTTGTGAAAAAAATATCAAGACAAAAAAGTTCCTAAATTTAATGTTTTTCTAGCGGACTAATAATTTTTAAGAAATTCAAATAAACGACCAAATTTTTTTGGCTCCAAAGACAAGGGTGTCCACGAAAAAGTGTCTTTAGGGGATTCCCCACCAAAAGGCGTAGTAATATCATATCCCACATGTCATAAAACCTCTTTGTATCAAATTCAGTGATTCTCATGCAACAGGGTTCTGAGATATAAAAAAATACTATTCTTACGGGCGGATATCAGGGGGCTGTAACTCCGAAAGAGGGGGCCATTTGGCAAAGATAAAAAGTACGGGTCCCTAAATTTGTCTTAAGGATATGTGCATTAACTTCGGGACAACCGGTATAAGCTGATCATTATAATACATTCGCTAAGTATACTTAAGAGAGTTCAAAAAAAAATTTTGTTTGTTTGTTTTGTGTTTTGAAAAACCGCTCGGACGCATCAATTTTTGTTCCAAACAAATTAATAACGTTATTAAAGAATAACTTAAAATGTGAAAATTTTCGCCTTTCCCATTTGTAGGTACGCCTATGACACGCACTGACACCTTAGCAGAAAACAGAGAGGACGAGATTTCAAGAAGTCAAACCATGCAGCCATATAATATTAAAAAATCACCTACAAGTTTGTAATAGATGTAAAAAATTGATATCGAAATTGATTTACTTATTGAATTAGCTGTCTGGAATATCGATTTAAAACATTTTTCGAGTTGTCAATTATTACGTACTTAATTATATCAGCATGCAAATAAATACATACAATAGCAATATACACTTTAAGTGATTAAGTTGCAGTTGATATCTATACGTATAATTATTAATGATATATGACATAAATAGATTGCAGCAAACTGATTTATCAGTACCGGTATGTTGTAGAAAATGTAACAAGAGAATTTAACGAATTTTTAGAATTCTTGATAACAGTAATTAGTCATTATTATTCATTTATAGTGAACATAATACATGTTAGGTACGTTTCTGATAAGATAGAAGTTAATAAACGTACAAGTATTAAGTACAGGTCGAAGTACCTCTATAATTGAAAACAATTTCTACGACAATATCAACAAAGTAAAATTAAAATCTTCAGTTCATAGTAACATAAAAAAAATAAAGTAACAGTTAAGCTACGTAAATACGAACGTAGGTAATATTTTTCTCTTTTTGTGAAATAAATAATGTATTGCCTAATAATAAGTATTTGAGATTTTTTAAATGCCTAAGTAGGTTGCTTTTTGAATATTTCGCCACACTGTAAACTTCATAAATTGGAGATTAAAGAAAAATTTATTACAAATCAAAGTAGGCAAAGACTAAAATGTTAAGTGGTTGTTTATTTGCAATTTTCTAAAGAAGATGGCAATCTACATTATTTCAGTTGATGAATGCAGAACTTTACATGATAATGAAAATATTATTCGGCTAAAAAACACAAAAGCAATCCAGATCGGAAAGGTAGAAATAAAATAAACAAACACTGAATAATCCACTTTCAGTACCAAGGTAAATATTTACAAACATCACCAAACCGAAGGGTCAACCATCGAGAGAAAAAGATATAGAAAAATTTGTGTGAATTAAAAAGAAGGGAGTTTGGGAGTTACCATGTTCCTCATAGTTTTACAAGCTTTATTACACGTTTTGTTAAATATTATTTTTGTTATTAGCTCTTGCACTTTTACTATCCTATTATATAGAGGGTAGCTGTTCTGTTCTAATAAATTAATTCTAATTTTTTTGCATTGGCGTTAGCGGCATCATCAAGTATAGTCTTTCCGATATCAATTGGAGAACTAAAACGTTGATGGTATGTACCAGGTTCGGTCGCTGACGCATGCGCAGCAACTCGGCATTGAAATATTTGAAAAACTTGTTCCCGTATTTATTTAACCATGTCCATATATAAATATATATGCCCAGTCGAAGAATGCGAGCGCGGGCAAACGAAATCTAACACAACTGCATTGGTCTACTGGGCAATATATCTCAGCTTTTGACAAGTGGTTGACAAATTGCCCAGCAGTGTAGTGCAGCATTGCGGAATTTGGTGTGATTTAGGTAATTTTAATTTTTTACAGGCACCTTCTATTAATCATTTATATTACAATTGCGAAAGGGAGAAATAATATTATTACAACATGGCATTTTGGAGACCTTTTGAAACGGAAGAAAACGAAATTTACCATCAATATAATAAAATTGATTGAGGACATAAATAATTAAAATATGTTGTTGGTCAAATGAACATATAATAGAAATTTTCTACACATCATATACAAATTATTATAATTTTTTACCTCTAGCAGAACACATTTTTAGGGACGCATATGAAAGTCATTAAATTTTATTGCCAATCGTTTTTTTACATGTTCAACTGACTTCAGAAAGACTATACAAGTCAAATTAGGGTATGGTATTTAAGTATTAAACAAGTGAAAAATGTCGGTGGATGCAAATTAAAATGTGGATGTCCAGCGTCTAATAAACGGGATATCTTTGAAAACAATTAAAAACATTCATAGAAATTCATAACATCTAGTGACATCCATGGATATTGGGGAACATCCGTGAACATTTTGACATTTGGAGAGATCCATGGACATTTAAGAACATCCATGTACATTTGAGGACAAACATGACATCTATGCACTTGTACACGATATATCTATCGCGTTTTATCTACTAGATTATTCGGTGCAACGCCGAGATGTTATTATACAGGGGTCGGCATAAGTCAGGCAACGCTCTCGAAAAATCGGCATAAATCCGGCAACGCTCATAAGTCTAGCAACGCTGTCGAAAAAGATTAAAACGAAGCACAGCACATGCATTGATCAAGATAGGCATCAATTTGAACACTTACAGTAACCCTTTTTCGAATCCCTTTTGTAATTTCTTTTAATAAATATATTTTGAGGCTGCATTTTTTTCTCTTAATGCAAATTGGTTGCCTGACTTATGCCGACCCCGGTTAGTAAAGACAATAAGATCGTAAAAAAATGAGAAGACGCAAAAATACTGTTTCCAAACTGTTTGCACTAATTTTACAACTATATCCAGTCTAAACCCGCAGGAGTCATTTAGTGTACAAGCTGGAGTAATATTTGGGTATTAAAACAATTATATGTATATGTAGCATGTATGATAAACGCAAGTCAACTTCCTCCTTTCCTCAATCACCATTAAATATTTGAGCAACACTTGAGTCATTAGTTTGTTATGAAGTGAGTGTTAGTATTTTAGTCTACAATTTTTGGTCAGCGGTTTCTTCCTCGGTAACAATAGATCAATTTTTCAATATTTTAAAATAAACCTCACATTACTTACCCAACTGCTCTTGCTCTTCTCTGGAGATTTAGGCTGCCTAGGACTCAGCTCGTCTTCCACCGATGCCAGCCTGTTAAACTTCTGCGTCCTCTCCTTAACACTGACCGTCTGCTTGTCTTCGTTGTTAGCATCGGCATCGCAACTGCCCTTCTTCGGAGTCGTCTCTTCCGCGACGGATTTCGTCCTTTCGATGTCCCTTCTCCTTGGAGGTGCTTGTGGAGTTTCATTCAGAGACGTGAGTGATCCGAACGATATGTTGTCCAGAGATGCACTCGGTGAACTTACTGGAGGAGGAGGCCTGTATGGAGGCGGCTGTCGAGGACTGAAGTCGGGCAGTGACGGGGACAGCGGAATGCCTATGGAATTTCTGGGGTCGTTTTGAGGAGATGGGATTAATGATGGGTGTTTTGGGGACGGGGGAGGATCTAACGAATTCAGATATTTGGTTTTGAGTATCAACACTTTTTCATCGCCTTCTGTCTTTGTATGCGAGAGTGTGTTAATGTAAGTTTTGAATCTTACTCTGTTTTCCTCTGAAACAAAAATATTTCTTATCACTTTAACGTGTCACCAAGAGAACTCAAGTTTTAATGTTACAATAACTGCATTTTTATGCACAAAAACTCTGAAAATTTACTAGTACCAGTACAGACTATGATAGTAGTTAGTACTGTTACTACTGAGAACATTTGTACACAGAACCATTATTTGTAGGAGTATTATTCCATATTCTCTTACTTTTTCGTATAGTATAAATATTTGTATACAAATACGCTACTAACAAAAATTAAGTGAAAAGAAATTTAAACGGTTTATTATATTAAAGAACGTGATTTTTTTAAACTATAAATGCTCCGAAATTGCACGTTTTGACCCCACTACGAGATTTTTAAGCGCGTTTTTTGAAAATCTGTATAAACAATTATTAATTAGCTTGTCCTACTTGTCCAGTTGATTAAGTGTGAAAGGAAACGTAAAACAAAAGAGAAAAATTATCCCTTTTCCCCCACTTACTGGGAGAAAAATAGTTACTTTAGTGAATAAAAAATAAAACATCTAACTGAAATAAGTTAAATTACATCCAGAATTTTCAAGTTAGCTAGATTTTTTATTATTTCTACAAAATTAGTAAATACAGAGGCTTTTTGGGGGTGGATACTATATTTGCAATTTTAAGGAAATTATAATTTCTAAATATGCTTGTTCTTAGGGTCTATTTAGGAAAAATGTATATTTCAAATTTGATTTTTGCTTAGGTAATGAGCTCGGTAATGAGTTAATGGCCTATAAATTGAAGATATCTTGTACAATGCATCATCATAATTAAGGTAATACATCTCTGTAATCGAGGTTTTCGCGAACACTGACCAATTTGTTTAAGAAAAATGTTGAGGTCAAAACATTTTCTTGATGCTTTTTAGTCTTTGAGTTACAGACAAAACGAAAATATTTATATTTTCGGTGACTTCTGTAGCGGACACAACTGGATTTGTTTCCGATCTGAAGAAATTTTGTCCCATATAATTTTAATAATATAATTTTCCAAATCTCCAGTCCAGTGGTGTTTTTAATTTTTAACTAAAGATTTTTGACTTATTTTAATCATTTTCATTTTTCAAATAAGTATAATGTTTCATTTACAAAAATTTGCAAAAGGTACTGCAAAAAATATTTTATATTATTACCAAGCCTTATTAGGAAAATCTCCGACTGCACAAATTGCGAAAAATTGTGGATTTTTATTGTTAATTTTGCATATCTACAATGTGTCCCGTTTTTCAGGTTAACACTTCTGGAAATGTGAGAGGGCTGTGGAGTTTCCGCAAACCAATTTTTTTTACAAATAGTATCCTGAAGGGAGGTTATATTCTACTAAACTAATCATTTTATTGATGTAAAAGAGCCTGGCCTACTACGATATTTTAAAAGGGTCGTTTTTTCAGAAAGTGGTATTAGTAATTTTTTTATCAAAAAGATAATATTACCAGGCTATTCAACACCCATCAAAATACCTATACTTATACCAAATTTGAACAACAAATGTCTATTGAGTGTTTTTATAACTTTGAAAAATGAGACAGCTAAAAATTATAATAAGCAGGTCAAAGATTGCCATGAAAGTGAAAACAAGTACCAATCGGACAAAGAAGAAATACAGACACTATAAATTTAACACTTTTAGTTAAATAATAATTAACGTACAAAAAATGTAGGTAATGAATTATAAATATTAAGTTGTTAAACAAAAAATTGCAGAACAATCTAAATTAAATTTAATTTTTCTCGAACTACCTATGGACTTTTACTTTTGGGGTATTGTAAAACAAAAAGTTTATAAAAACAGATCAAGGAATTTGGATGACCTGATGAATTGCATAAGAAAAGCTTGTGCAGAAATTACTCCATAAGCTATGTAAATTATTTTTAAATTTAAAAAGAGGATTGGAAAAATGTGTTCGACTGGAAGGCGGTTTGGTGGAAAAAACTAAATCTTAATTTAGATCATCGTTTTGCAATTTTTTTGTTCAACAACTCAGTATTTATAATTCATTGCATTTTTTGTTATTATTTTTATAATTAATTAATAATAATTAATTATTATAATTAAAAGTATTAAATTTATAGTGCCTGTATTCTTTCTTTGTCCCATTGGTATTTGTTTTCACTTACATGGCAATCTTTGACCTGCTTATTATAATTTTTAGTTATCTGCTTTTTTGAAGTTTGGCACCACATAAAAAAAAACACTCAATAGACATTTGTCGGTCAAGTTTGGTATATGGGTATTTTAATGGGCGTTGAATAGCCTGGTAATATTACATTTTTAATAAAAATATGCCTAATACTACTTTCTGGAAAAACGACCCTTTTAAAAAATCATAGTAGGCCAGATTTTTGTAATATCAATAAAATGATTACTGGAATATACTTAACCTCCATTCAGGGTACTATTTGTAAAAAAATTGACTTGCGGAAAGTTCATAGCCTTCTCACATTTCCAGAGGTGTTAACCTAAAGAACGGGACACACTGTATAAGTGTAGAATGTAATGCTTCTATATTCCATTAATAAATTTTATCTGCGACTAACAAATAATATGTATACCTAACTGCTTTTAGCTCATGCAGAGTTTACATCAATTTGTATGTGGAAATGAATCAGATGAAACTATGGGATAATGTAAATGAAAGCTTATATAACAGTTATTTATGTGCAAAAAGAGGAAACTTTCGCCCGCGGTACCATGTTTTACATACAACTGCTTCAAAACACCAAAATATATAAATATAGGTACATACATTTCAGTTAAAATAATTTTCACAAGGGAAAAATAATCGTATCTGGTTTTTTATAAACTTTATTGCAAAAACTTCAGACAACTTAATTACAAAAATTTCAGAAAATTGCAAAACTTGCATACAATCATCAATAAGTATGAAAATATAATTATAATCGTGATACCTATTCTAACACTACATCGGGGATGGGATGCACTAAACTGTAAGTAATTCCAAGAAAGAAACACTGTATATCGAATAACCATAAATCAGAGTAACAGTTTAATAGGATAAACAATAATTATATTGTGTCACACACGGAATATATCACCAAGAACGAAAGAAACATCTCAGATACTTTGTTTCTCATTAACTTCCGGACATCCTGTATAAAATATGTCTATAAAGACTCGGTATATGACCTTTGAATTAATTTAATGCTAATCATTTTAATAAATTAGCAGCATCAAACAACAGAACATCATGTGCTAACTATTAATTAAAAACAATAACATAACCTGCAACAGTCACCACAATAGTATTTTTTAACGTTTCAAAAATAAACTGAGAAGTTATACGTAGAACATAAATTAGCTAACATGAAATTCTAGTTTTACGGTAATTACACTATTATTAGTACAATAATTACAATATGTAAAAACAAAAAGTAAACAGAAACTAAATAAAGTGTTGAAAACAACCATATATTTAACTTACGTTCTAGAACAATACTTAGTCATTTATTGATTATTGTTAACTGTATTTAAAGATTTACTAAAAATTTATAAAGTTATGCAGATAATGGGGCACATCTGCATAAATAAACAATAAAATTATGTGAAATACTGACTCAATCCACAGGTTGTTGATGCAGTTCAAAAGTAAACATAACGTTTTTAACGAAATTAGAAAGATCAGACGGTATATGAGCTCACCTTTAGTTTGGGGATCAGTTAAATAACCCTTGAAGTAACGCACAGCATCACGATTCTTCACCTTTCCACCTTTTTCTTTTAAAAACTGATAAATTTGTTCTAATGTCAACTCACTAGCAGCCATGATGCTGGTTACTAACCTACGGAACGGCAACATGACGCGGACAAATGTTTCTACGATCAGGTGGTCGGAGCACGCATACTGCCAACACATTTATTTGAAACGAGGCGCGCATCGTTCATAGCGAACTAATCAATAGACGCTCACAATAAGTTATACATTGGAGCAGTGCCGTATCTGCGGTAAATAAAATGGGTGTATATTAGTATTTAAAATTGGTAAACCGAGCAATTATTTTGTTTAGGTTTATATATCTGACAATAAATTATTGTTTTTTATTAAAATGCCCTTATACAATATAGATATAGGTAGTAAAAAAATATTTAGTTTACAAATATTTATACTTTATACAAATATTTCTCCTTAAAGTCTTCGTTCTTTAACATACAGAGTGTTCCCTTTAAAATATGTGAATATGAAAAAATTAATCGAAAAGTTTATTGAGGCACAAGGTTAACATTTTTATAAAACTATTTAAATTAATTCTGCATTTTTATCCAAACGGATAATCTTCACAAATTAATATTAGAATGGCATAAGCCATTTATAGATGTCAATAGATCATTTTTTCCGCAAATAAAACTTGTACCTACTTCGCAAACGACATGATTTTTTTCACCGATGGCAAAATATCCAATAAATATGGAAAACATATGAAACACCCTATACAGGGTGTTTGGTAAGTCGATGCATTCCTTGCAGGAGGTTATAGTACAAGTGGTTTGTGATATATTTCCTGAATATACCATATTCGGAAAACGCTTAGTTTCCGATCTACAGGGTGTTAAACTTTTAATAAAAAAATGCAAATTTGTAAATATTGCAGAAACCGCTAAGAATATTTTAATGAAATTTTACTAGCTTTAACAGTTAACAACAATGCATGTTTTACGATAAAAATATTGTTTTCAGTTTCACCAGTGGCGTGCGCACAGGCACGTCATTGAATATTTTTAAAGAAAAAAATAATACGCCACCGATTTTTCTTAAAATAAAAATTAATTTTCAATTTTTTGTTCAATTTGGAAGAGAAAATGCATCTCGACTCTTTTTCTTATGAAGCACCGTTTTCGAGTAAAAGGATTAAAATCGATTTATTGCATGGCGTAATCCGGTTTCAATAATTTTAAAAATAGCAGAAATTGTATAAGTAAGATAAATATAATAAAGTACTTATAAACAAAACAATAAATAATAACTTAACTGTACGCCCAAATTTATCAAATAAAAATGTTGCTTTCGAACCAAGTTCGAGCCCGTATTAAAAAAAATTACATATTAAATTCTCATTTATAAAGAGGGCAAAGGAAGATATTAATTTTAACCGAAATTATTTAAAAGGAAGAGAATTAAATTTGTGCCAGGCCGTACTTATCAGATCAAAATATGATATTACAAGAGGAAATGCATTTAATTAAACATTTTGAGGCACATAATCGACTAAGGCATCTGAGCCATACATGACACCTGCAATTAGTGACGCTTCGGAGCTTCGCTAAACGTCCTCCAGTCCACAAAACGCTCTAAAAAAAACCCTTATCTAAGATTACTTATACTAAGGAGTGTTACTATTTATCAGCTGTCCAATTATAAAAAGCGGTTTCACCCTTGTTGGCATTGACTTTAGGGCAATGTTTCTCGATCGTGAATATCCACGTTCAAACCAAATAACTGTTAATACTTATTTCTTGTATTAAAGTTGAATGAATTAACAGCATTTTGTTGTCCGCAACTGATTTAATTTATAATTCGTCACTGAAATGTTTTTAAGACAAAATTAAGAACAATTTGAATGAGATTTGATTGACCTTGAAATTGTTGCTCCAGGTATTTGTTAATTAATTTCGTTCGTTTTTTTGCAATAATAATGCAAGTAATTTTAGAAATTAATATCGTAGATATAGATTATAACTGGTCCAAAGAAACGTATGAAAAGAGAAAAATTAAAAGAAAATTTAAATTAAGTTGCTCTTTACATAAATCAAAGTAGGATGTGCAAAACAACGTTATCAATAACAGGTGATTACAACTTGAATAGATTTGAATGGTCCTATGATATAAAAAGTAAGTCATTTTTACATACGTTGGTAAACGATGAGATTTATCAAAGTTTTTCTGATTGTGTGTCCTTTAATAGCTTATTCCAATTTAATGGTTGTGTTAATAGTAATGATAGGATATTAGACTTATTTTTGTCCAACTATTCAGATATTATAGTGAGGAGGTGTGATTGTCCTTTTGTTAAAGAAGATTTACATCATGTGTCACTTGATATTCAAATTGACTTATCTTACATTGAAATGAAAGAACCCAAAGTTTCATATTTGTCTTTTAACTTTTTTAAAGCAGACTATAATAAAATTAATGACGAACTTAGTGTCGTCAATTGGGAATTATTGTTTAATAAGACTACTACTGATAGAGCTATTTCCATTTTTTATGAGGTCCTAAATAATATTATAGAGAAATATGTTCCTTTAGTTGACCATAAAAGTAGAAAATATCCTATCTGGTTTTCTACTGACACAAGGAAACTGCTAAGGAAAAAAAGTATATTCCATTATAGGTGGAAAAAATATAATAGAATTGCTGATTATAATTTGTTTGCAAGTCATAGAAGCCAGTCTAAAAAACAAATAAACATTGATTACAAAAAATTTATTGCTGATACGGAAAATAATATTATTAGTAACTCAAAAAGATTTTGGTCATATGTTTCGCATATCAGAAGTACAAACAGTATTCCTTGCAACATGAATTATAACAACAAAGTTTTTAGTAATTATCCAGACATTGCTAAAGCTTTTGGCAAATTTTTTGCTTCTGTTTATGAGCCATCTAATAAGCCAGTAATTACTGATGACCCTTTATGTTTTAACAATGCTATTAATATTACCTCTATTGACATTAATGATATAACAGAGAAGATTAATAACTTAGATATTAATAAGGGTGCTGGGTGTGACAATATACCTCCCATTTTTATCAAATCGTGTTGTAATCATATTAAGTTACCACTTTTTTTAATATTTAATAAATCTATTACTGAATGTTGTTTCCCTGAAAAGTGGAAGATTGCTAAAGTTACACCTATTTTTAAATCTGGTAGTAAATATGAAGTAAATAATTATAGATCAATTTCTATTTTATGCACTTTTAGCAAAATCTTGGAATCAATTATTACGGATAAATTATTTTTTCAAATAAAATATTTATTAAATGAAAACCAGCATGGATTTTTCAGTCGTAGATCTACTGTGACTAACCTTGTTCCTTATGTACAATTCATCTCTGATAGTATGGATAAAAATGTTCAGGTGGATGCTGTATACACGGACTTTTCGAAAGCTTTCGATAAGGTTCACCATGATACTCTTTTTAATAAGCTTCGATGTGTTGGTGTGTTTGGCAACCTTCTGGCATGGATTAAATCGTATTTAACCAATCGTTCACAGTACGTTGTTATTATGAATTGTAGCTCTGATGTTAGCAAAGTTACGTCGGGTGTTCCTCAAGGTAGTCATATAGGTCCTTTACTGTTTTCTATATATATAAATAATATATCTAACTGCTTTAAGCACTGTCATTTCTCAATGTATGCTGATGACCTTAAGATGTTCAAACAAATTTCAAGTGATACTGATGTTGTTGAATTTCAGGAAGATATTCATAGACTGTATCATTTTTGTAAGTCTAATTACTTATTTATTAATGATAAGAAATGTAGTCATATCTCTTTCACTAGAAATAGGCATACAATTCAGAGTCACTTTATTATTGGTTCTAATATTGTGGAAAAAGCTTATAGTATTAAGGATCTCGGAGTCATCTTGGATGATAAGTTGGTATTTGATGCTCATATAGATTATATAGTCAGACGTGCGTTTCGAATGTTGGGTTTCATTTTGAGACTTACCAAGGATTTTAAAAATATTAAAAGTATGTTTTGTCTTTATTTTTCTTTAGTTAGGTCTCAATTGGAATATAATACGGTAATTTGGTCTCCTTTATATTTTAAATATATAAACAGAATTGAGTTTGTTCAAATCAAATTTATTAATAATGTTAATTATAGATTTAATCGCGAATTGTTACACGTTCCATATAAGAACTCTCTTAATGTACATAAATTGCTTAGTTTAGAAGAGCGTAGACAATTTTTTGATTGTGTTTTGTTATATAAAATTGTTCATGGATATTTTGATACAGATATTTTGTCTCTGTTAAATTTTTTAGCCCCGGTGTATGCTAACCGTCAGTTCTCGGTTTTCTATGTTCAACTCTCGCATAGTAATTATAATTTAAATTCACCGTTTCATAGAATTCCAAGATATTTTAATAGCAATCTATGTCAACTAGTTGATATCTTTAATATTTCTTTGAATAGATATAATACCTTTGTGAGGAAGTGTATAATTTCTTATAGGTAATTTTTTTGTCTCTTTTTGTATTGTCACATTAGTTAGATTATGTTCATACTGTACTTCATCACCTTGTTTTTTGTTACTTGTTTAGTGTTACCCTGTTATTGGGATTTTTAATCCTGTTGGGTTTCCTACTTCTTAAATAAATAAATAATAAATAAATAAGTAAATAAATAAATTGTCTCAGGGTCAGACAAAGGCTGCTCGGGAATTCGCTCTTTTAGCTTTAAATAAAGCTTATTTTTACGTTAATTAAAAAAAGAAATAACGTACGCCTCTTTATTCGCAAGATTTCTTAAAATTTGCTTTAAGACTATAGCAACTATTCTTAAAAAATAGATGTGAAGAATCGTTTGAAAGATATGTATTTAGTAACTGTTAGTACTGCTACTCAAATAGACAGTTTATCTTATTTTTCAGCTGCTACACAATTTTATTTAAGAATTTGTTGACAAGATTTTGTAACTTTTTTATAAGATTTTTTATATTGATTCACTTGCACTTTGTATAAAATTCCGATTAAATAATTTTGACGAAAGTGTCAGTGCGGGTAACAATTCTGACACATTTTTGTGCAACATCTAGCAACC